AAAAAAAAATCTATAGATCTATAATTTTGGGGTTTCACAACTATTTCGTCCCCGTCGAAATGCTAATTTCGACTGGGGTTACACTAAATTTCGTCCCCCATAATAATTTCAGGGTTACACTATTATTTCGTCCTCCGCTGAAATGCTAATTTTGACTAAGGTTACACTAAATTTCGTCCCCCATAATAATTTTGACCCCCATAAATATTTTCGTCTTTTATAATAATTTCGGAGTTAATTTTGAATTTCGGAATTCAATTTCAGGGTCATTTTAAATTAATCGGGGTCGGGTTTTGGATTTTTAATTTTGGGGGCATGTATAATTTTGATAATATAGGTCTATTTTTTAAATATAATATGTAATTTATTCTCATCTTTGAGATTACTTAATACTATTTTAATGTTTACTTATTAAAATAAAAAATTTTATAGTAATAACTATTAATAATTATTTTTAATTTTAAATATATTTTATCAGATATTATAGGACCTCCAGAATATTATAATAAATATCATAAAAAAATCTATAAGATTTTAATTAAAAATATATAACTATTTTTTATAATAATTCTATATAAAATTTGATAAAAAATATATAATCTAAATTATAACTTATAATAAATTATATTTTTTTTTATTTTATTGAATTATTAATTTTTTTTTAAAAATAAAATTAATAACATCATTTTATTTTAAATAATTATAATAATCTTTATCTATATTAATAAAAATAAAAATTAATCATTAATAAAATAACTAATTTATTATTTAAAACAACAAATTTATTAATTATTTTTTTGAAATAATAAAAATCTATTAAAAATATCTAAAAATTATATAAATTAATAAATAAATGAAGTATTACTTAATTACAATTCTGTAGACCCTTCTTTCTTACTTGAATTTATAAAATAGTATTGCACCATCTGAAACACTGTAAAAAAATAATTCTAAAATAATTAAAAAGTAATATTGAATATCTGAAAATATCCAAAAATAATTAAACTAATAAAATGAACAAAGTATTACCATCTTACTATATTGTAGACACCTTTTAAACTATATAATTATCTTCTTTTCTTATCTAAATCTATAAATAATATTATGTCACCTATTTTATCTACAAAAAATAATCAAAAGTAATATTTAGTATCTGAAAATATCTGAAAATCAACTAACCTAATAAAATTTACAAAGTATTATTACTTATTACTTTGTAAATCTTTTTTAAACTATGTAATTACCTTTCTTTCTTGTCTAAATCTATAACCAATATTATATTACCCATTTACTCTGCAAAAAAAAATAGTTCTAAAAGTAATCAAAAAGTAATATTTAATATTTGAAAATACAGAAAATTATTTAAACTAATAAAATAAACAAAATATTTCTCACCTACTACTCTATAGACCTCTTTTAAACTATATAATTCTCTTCTTTCTTGTCTAAATCTTATAGATCACCTGAGACACCAATTTTAAAAGCAATTACAAATAATAATCAATACCTGAAAATTATCTAATTTAATAAAATAAAATTATAACACATAATAATAAATTATATATATCAACTATCTATTGTCTTTTTATATTTATGATAATTTATTATTGTATTATAAGTCTATTAGTAAAGTGACATAATTACTCACTAGTAAAAATAAAAAAAACTTATAAAGTTATTAATCTAATTATTTAAAAAAATATCTAAAATATCATGTAATAAAATTATATTGTAAATATATCTACACCTGTTCTTATGAAGTTTTATTATAAAATTCCAGTTGAGAACTGGATGCATGTTAAATTAATAGAGTATTATTATATAAATTCAAAATATAAAGTTCCACAAAATTAGATAAAAAAGATAAAACATCTTGTAATAGAGGATCAATCAATAACAACAATATAATGGTGTTACATGTGGTTTTTCCACTATCATTTTTATTTTTATATTATTTTATTATTTTATTATATTAGTTATTCTATTATTTTATTTTATATATTAGTATTATTTGTTTATTATTTACTGTAATACAAATTATGTAAATCAATAACTTAGATTATAGTGGACCAACTGATTGATTGACATACTTACTGACAAAGATATTGGCCTAGTTACTGACCAAGTCTTTGGCCAAGTTCAATATTATAAAAAGGGTGAGTTTTCCTTCCACCCCAAAGCAGATTCGAATAGTTCTAAATAGTGAAATTTAGATAGTAATCTCATTTGTAATGAATTTTAATATTGAATTAACCTTTTGACAATCCTAACAAATAGGATTATTGATTTATTTTATAATAAACATATATCTTTTTACTTTAATTCCATTATTTTTATATTCTTCAAATATAAATTATTAATAATAAACTCTTGATTATACCTTGTGACTTCCCAATAAATATAGTTAGTAATTGTCCATATAAATTTATTATTGACTTTATAGTTAAATTATCTTGTTTAATTTTTGTTAAGTTTATACTTATAATTCATAAACACATTCCTTCTTGTTTACGAGTTGCTAGTTGTAACTTACCTTTTGGAAAACAAAATTAGCCCAAAAGGTCAACTAGTAACAACGGTCAAGAAAGTGAGGAAGTTTCAATCAAGAAAGGAGAACCTTCTTCAACTAATCAAGTGCAAAATAAAGAGTCAATATCTATTGAAGAATATAAAAAAGAAATTCGGATTATGTAGAAAATAATAGAGTAAGTATTTCAATTGAACTAATTGAACTTAATTGTAATTTTTTAATTTAGCCAAATAGAAAATCCACTTGATCTACAAATGTCAATGATACGATTACATAAGCGAAGATGAGTTAGAAATTCTTAATTTATAACGTACTGTATATCATAAATTGGATCCGCAAAAAATGTGGAAGTTAAAAAGTGGTACCATTGTTGAAAAAATTATATATGCCTACACTCATTTATTATTAATGATATTGATAAAGAAGCAATGTCCTTATTTAATAAAGAAGACTGGGATGAAATATTCTCTTTCGAAGTTAAAAAGATACCAAAGATTGATAAATCAATTATTAATCTTATGAAAAAGTATTCTGTAACAGACTTATCCAAGTTTCGAAAAATCATTTTTGAACCCTTTTTACCTACTAGCACTCCATACTCCAACAAGGAGCACTTTGAATTAAATTACATTCACCTCGCATATAGCATTATGCACACGTTCTGGGAAGATAATGACAACTTTTCTCTGGACTCATCAAAGTTAGAAGGATGGTATCAGTTAAATATATGGGGTCCACTTATTGACTCCGTATTTCGTTGTTCAAATATTAATCTAATACGAGGCGAAGGAATGAATAGAGCTTCGAGTGATAGAAAGAATCAAACAAATTATGGAAGAAGATCGGAAAGAAAGGAGATGGAATATTTAGGCTGAAAGGGAGTAGATTAGAATTTGGCGCAATTGAAGCTGGAAGAGTGGAAAGGTGAACATGGAAAAAAGTATATCAAAGACAGAAAAAATACTCAGAAAATTACAAACTATAGGAATATTAAATAGTGCAAATCGATTACAACTTCTAACTATGGATATTCCAATGGGTTTGTTTGTCGCATTCGGCGTTTTAAGTTTCGGGAAGTTTCTGGTTGTATAAATAATCCACTATTAGGGTTTGCTTTAAAAGATATATTAAAAGCAAATCAATTATTACACAGACATTAGAATTAATTCAGGAAAGTAAATCTAAAATCAACGATCTTGATGATTCTGATGAAGAAGGCAACACCAAAACTCCAAAAAGAAAAATGTTCTGATGAATAATAATTAATATTACTTTTATAGTAAAGTTTAATAGTGTTGATTGAAATCGAATACTATGTAAAGGCGAATTAATGTAATCAAAAAAAATATAACACATTTGAGTTCTTTCTAATCTAAAACTTTTGAAATAAAATCATGTGCACGTTACAAAGTTAAGAAAATGGGAAATCCAGCCCAAATCACTTTTTTTAATAGTTATCTGATACTTAACATAATAATTCAAAATAGACAATAATCCTTATTTTAATACTAGTCTAATATTATACCACACATATATATATATATACAGTATATTATACCAATACTAAATATTAATTTTGACATTTAATATATTTCAGATAAAAATTTTTTTTTTTTTTTGATATGTATATAAATTTTTTTATGTAAAAGAATATATTAACATAACTTATTAAAAAAATAAATAAATAAATAATAATAAATCAATTGTAATCTCAATTTCACCATTTTCTGGCAGTTAATCCTCCATTTCTATTACCAGCAACTTCACCATCAATGTTTTGTAAACTACTTAAAAAGTCTCCTAATATTTCAGCATTTGGTGGAGAAAGATCCAAAATAGGTTTCCCTGTATGTGTAATACCATTACTTGTATGTCTTGGTATTACTGCAAGAATTTCAGGTGCATGTATTGAATGTCTCCAATTATTTGGTTTTCTACCATTATTATTGTTATTTACATTAAATCCCCCTGTCAAGTCCCCGGAATTTTTTGGATATTTCGGTGACACAGGATTTGACCGTGATGTCATTCGGGATGAAGATTTTTTTGTGGTCAATGGTGCTAATTTTCCTATTTTATCCTTACTTTCATTTATGCTATTATTTTCATTATTATTACTTTCATAATCATTATTCCTTTCATTAATACCACTCATAATTCCTACAACATCTGAAATATCACATACAGCGGGTATGGTAGCAGATGTCATAGGTTTTAGAGGTAACAAAGTAAGGGGAGAATCTGTGATTGATATACTATTTACATTATTACCATTGTTTCCTTCATTTCTATTAGTAGATGATAACAATATCTGTGGTTTTATGACTAATCCTGGTGTAATTGATGGTCGACGTCTCCTTGGTGCTGGATTGTGATTATCAAAATCACTTTGTTTCTCTTCGGGTGTACTATATAATGAACTATTTGTAGATAGGCAACTTGGATTTGACGTATTATAATTAGTTGAGGTAGAATTATTATTATTATTATTATTATTATTATTATTTGTAAGTGATGAAAAATTAGATTCTAAACTTGATCTTCCTGAAGATACTGTCATTAGTTCATCAACATTATTTTGATGTTTATTATATCCTCCATATATAACGGGACTATTGCTCATTCTTGGACTAGTAGTTGGTCCGGAGTTTAAGGATCTTGCAGGTGATTTATCTCGTTTTGGTGGGTGTTGAACTAACCCAGGTGTAGAGAAACATTTTAAATAATTGTATTGAGATGAAGGATAAACTGATGATGCTGACGAATTCGAGGTGGACGGTGAAGATAATGAAGTCGCCCGACTACGTACTTTACTATTATTCGGCAAAATTGGAGGGCTAAATTTATGTGATGAATGGGATGAAATTGATGATATTGATGACGTGGTAGAAATTGTATCGTGAAGTTGTAATGGATCCAATTTTAAAAATTCCGTAGAGGCTCTTAGAGTTGTTAAAGCGAAACTATAATATAAATTAAAAAAAAATTATTAAAAATTATTAAAAATTATTACAAATATCATGAATAATATATTGTAAATACAAACCTCAACTCAGATCTCTCGACTTTAGATAATCTAAATGTTTGCATGTAAAACAGAATACTCGCTAATTTTCGGATTTTACTATTGATAATGACATAAGCGAGCAAAGGAATAAAATCATCCGTAGTAATCGAAGACCTCTCATTTTCTTCATGCGTTAATTTAGGAGCGGCCAATTGCAAATAAGTATCTGAAATTGTGGCAATTTCTTGTATAGCTTTCTTAACACAAAATAATTTTTCCAATGGAGTCTTTGCCGATATTTTACTAATGATATTATTATTAATATTATTATTACTATTATTATTACTACTATTGTTATTGATATTATCACCATTATTCATTCCTCCATCACTACCGCCGCCTTCAGTATTATTGGAATGAGTTGTGATTCCAAGACCGGCATATTTCAATGCGTCGTTATCACGTATTCCAATACTTGTGTCATCATCTTCATCCAAATTTTTTAATATTTCACATGCAGCATTTAGCATTTCCACAGGCATATCTTGTAATCTTTCGCATACTCCATAATCCTTTAGAGATATTTGAGCACGAGAGTAAATATTAATTATTGATTCAAGATAGGAGTCATGCGAATGATAGATAGGCAGAAGAGATTGGATAAATATTTTGTTGTGTAATTCACTCATCAAAATACTATTAAATAAGATTTATATGCGTAAGTATATGCGTGTATGTGCATGTGTGTTGTAAGAATAAATACTTACTTCTCGACTAGCTCCAGAAAATGATCGTATTCATGTTGTGTACGACAAACGACACTTAACATACTGTTAGATTGTAGTATGCCCTGAGAAATATTTAAGCGAAAAGATGACGTTAAAATGGATAGTATTATTCAAATATTAAGAAAATATCCCATTTCTTACTTTCTATTCTTACAAATCTATTTACTGACTTCTATCTTTCTTGTTCTCTTGAATAATATGTTTTGGGTAAAAAAAGATGATATTTACCTGAACAGCTCTTTGAAGTATTTGAGCAATTCTATCCACTGCAAATCCGGAATATCCTTTGACATATACATAAGTTTCGTTAAATTCTTCGATCATATTTTCAAGGTCCTTTATGGGATTATCATTATCTAATATACTTCTCAAAAATATTAAATCCGTTTCATGATTCCTCTCTATTGGTATATTAAACATTTGATAATCATCATCCGTTGAAATTGATTTCCTTCCTTCCCCCTCTAATGGACGTTCTATTACCAAAATATGTACGGATTTATATGATTCATTGTATACTAATTGATCACTTAGTACACGTATTGTTCTTTCCTCTTTGAAACCTAAAAATAAATAAATTTATTGAATTTATTAAATTAATGAAATTAAAAAAAAAAAAATTGAATTATTAATTAAAAGATATTTTTTTATTTTTCGAAAATAATAAATTATTTATTTTTAATCATTATAATACCTGATATTAACTTTATCCAATTTCTTTCAATGGATACAACTTTTTTATTGATACTTTGAAATTGACCTTGAAAATATGGTGAAGGCTTTAACGAATGCGTTTCTAATTTTGAACAAAAAAAATTTTTTTAATTTAATTAATTAACGCGCTTATGTAACGTTACACGAGCCTAATTTCTTCATGTATGATATATCATACCGATAAAATTACGATTAATCCTCATTCCAACAATACTTTTAGAGTGAGGTACGCAAACGACGGTTACTCTATCAAGTATTTTCGGATAATCCTTCCTTATGGTCGTATAAAATATATTTTCATCCAAATCTTCTTCATCCTGATCTGTTAAAGAATGTGTTGAAGAATTTGGTGAATTATAAAAATACGAGGGATCAGATGAAAATCCACCACCACCAGTCGATGTGGTCAGTAAACTTTTGGTAGCGTTATCAGTTGTATCATTGTTCTTGGTAAGGACAGTCTTATTATTATTATTTATAATAGAGTGATCAAGATTAGAAAAATTATTGTGATATTTTTCTGTTGGACTTGTTGGTGGTGAAGAAGGTGTTAAACGAAGAAATGGTGTATTTCGATCTGATATCGTAGTAGTAATAGTTGAAGAAATGACGTCTCTAACGCCATTTTCAAGATTATTATGGTTTAATGATTGTTGTTGTTGTTGTTTCTGTCGAATTGGCCCACGAAGTTTATTTGTTGAAGCCGAAGAAAAAAATTTTGATAATTTCATTATTTTATAATTTTTTATAATTTTTTATAATTTTTTATAATTTATATATATATATGATGTCTTTTTTTTTTTTTTTTAAATTGATACTAGATATATTAGTTTTTAAAAGAAATAAATAAAATCTTTTGATCAATTATAGTTTAAAAAATTTTTTTGTTATTAAAATGGATAAATAGATAAATAGATAAATCTCATAGTTAGTTGATTTTAAAATGAGAAAAGAAAATTCTTTAATAATTATCAAAAAATTTGGAACAGGTTGTAATGCGAAGACGACAAAGGGGGTATTAATAAAGGAAATGAAATAAAATACAATGAATATATATATAATATACGCAGTTAATAGAATATATACAACAAGAAGCAACAATATAACCAAATGTAAACCGGAAAAAAAAATATTATTTAAAAAGAAATTATAATTAAAATTCAAAAAAAAAACCAAGAAACAACCCGATGAAAAAAAAAAAATTGAAAAGAGGGGTATTAAAAATTGTAATCGGGAAGTTCCACGGTGCAACGTTACAATATATAAAATTTCATCAATTATTTATATAATAATTTACAGTAGCAGAATTGTTTGTTTTGAATAAAGATCTCTTTTAAAATAGAAGAATAGGAATGCGAGAGAAGAATTGATGTGAAAATACATCAACATAAATCAACATATGTGGAAGTGGATTCATTTTCTACGATAAATGACAAATAAATACGATAAATAACAAATATATACGACAAATGACAAATATATACGATAAATGACAAATATATACGATATGTGGACATTTTTAAACAAAATAAAAGATTCTATAAAGAATATAAAAACAAAAACAAGCTAAAAAAAAAAAACAACGTATTCTTCTTGATATGACTAATTTTATTTACAGAACATTTTAACTAAAATATACAAATATTATTTCCTTCGTCCAATAATAATGACATTAGGCTAAAACTTTTTCTTTATTTATGTATTCATTCAAAAAAAAGATTTATGTTATGTATGCTTTGGGAGCGTCAATGAGTGAATACGTAATTGTTCAAAAATTATGCATTTATGTAAAAATTCCAAAGTAAATATTGAAAATTTATCCGTATTTCATTGTTTGCGAATGACAATATGTAACACAAATGCATCATAGGGCATCTACACGAAAAATCTAAAAAAAAAAATCTAAAAAAATCTTTGCATTTCTCTAACTGTTTTTATATTAAATGGTAAAAACCAGTTCTCATATTTCAATTGTAATTTGCTATTTTTGAAGATCATTCAGTCATTTTGTGTAAAATAAAACCAGTTCCATTTATGTTTTCTGGTATTTTTGTAATAATGAAATTCGAAATTCCTCATGTGATCATTACGAAAAGATTGAATTTAATCAAATACACTTTAAACAATTAACATTATTGTAAAAGTAATATCAATAACATTTAATTATAAAAGAGTTAACATGCATGATAATTGTAGGATTAACATAAGAGTAAAAACAAGAATGTAACAAGAATTAATAACAAATTAATAACAAATTAATAACAATTAACATGCATAATAATTTTAATTTTTTGAAACAAAACCTTTCTTTATTTATACTTATAATTAATTTTTTTAATTATTCTTCAAGATGTCATTAAAAGTCTTGAGAAGGTTGAATTTTTGGATAACTCAGACATGCCGCCGAAATTCAAAAAAAGGAAATATTAACAAGGATCTTTATTGTTGTAACTTCCTTTTTTTGAATTTCTCATTATTTCTGATCACCAAGTCATTTGTAAATATCATGTGATTTTGTAACGAATTTACAAACAAAAATTTTAAAATTCAATCGAAATTGATTTTTATTGAATATGTCATATATTTTTTACACTGCTTGTTTCCATTTTTATATGCATCCATATATTTATAAAATTTTGAGCAATAAAATCTGATTGTTTTGCTTTGACAAAATCCTTTGCATAAAGATATTTCAAAAATAATTTGACAATATACTGATAATGTAAAAGATGTATCAATGATTATTAATAACTATTTACATAGAGGGGAGTTTATTGTTTTTGATCGGAAGATATCCACTTACAGTTCAGTTAAGATTTGAATTTATAGAATTATGGAAATCTCTAAATCTGAAAAATAAAAAGATATCAGTTCTCAGGAATATTAAAACATTATATAAATAAATAAAATAAAAATATATTATATTCCAGTATATCAATTTTTATAAAATCAGCAGTAAATTAGTTATCAAACTAGTTTTTATTTTATTTTGCATAATAAATAATTGGTTGTAACATGAATAAAAAACTTAGATACAAGACCTAAAAGAAAGAATATAAATTATTTATCACTTCTTAAATAGTATATCTGGAAAAGAATAATTTCAACCTTATAGAAAAAAAGAAAAACTGGTATGGAAGTAATATTCAATTCAGAATTATCATCTTACAAAGAGAAAACTTTCTCAAAGAAAAATAATAATAAAATAAAGGTAAAAAAATAACTAATAGAAACTCTTGAAAGTTTTAAACAAAATGACAAATAAAGGTAGTAGTAATATGATCTGTGAATAAAATTACTATGTGTTTTAATGGATAAAACGGATATAAACAGATATCCATGTAGGCTAACACATAGTATATATTACATAATATGTATTACAAAGTAGAAAATTATACATGTGATTATATTCTTTAAAGGTTATTTACTGTCATGGATGTTATTGTTAACATCCACTCAATGGTTCTTTTAAGGAGTTTATAGTCCTCTCCCATAGGTACAAGACTTTCAATTTGGTTATTCCTTGAATTTTAGAAGGCACCAGTTAGTTTTTAAATAGAACTAACAAACTAATATTCATCCACTTTAATTATAATATATCTATTTCAATATTATACCTCTCTACTTCCAAGCTTCCTTAATATTATATATTCATAATTTCATCATAACATCCTTGCTAATTTATCTTCATAATCTCATCCTAACATCCTTAAATAATATGTCTTCATAACTTCCATTTATCATCTTAATATTGAATAAATACTTTATCATCAAACTTTCTCAATAATTATTAGAACAAAATAAATATAATTAATTATTTAATTAATTATATAACTTCCATTTGATAATCTTACTTTCACTTTATTATATTTATAAAGTTATCATTTATTAACTTAAATAATAATATTTATTATTTCACTTCTACTATATAAATTTAATGGGAATTTATATTCATATATTTATATAAATAATTACATTTCATCCTTTGAAAATTACAATTAATTAAAGTTATAAAAATATAAAATTAAATATTGTAAAACTACTGGAACTATTTGGGGTAAGGATATATTTATACTATTTTAACTACTGTGTCACAAAATACTATTTGCTAATAACTATAAATAATATAATACTAATAATATTAATATAATAACTATTACTAGATAATATTAAATATATAAATAATAATAATAAATGTTAAATAACACTAGTCAAATTGTGAAAAATTAGTACCTATCGTATACCTATTGGATACCTGATAGGTATGTAATAGATATCCAATTTTTAATAAATTGTAATATATCAAGCATCTGATAGGTAAGGTGAGCATGCTGAAGTTTAGACACTAGGGTTGTTAATGGAGTGGAATAGGTTAGGTTGGGTTTATATTATAGTGGAGTAAGAGATAATCCAACTTAATCTGAATTAAATACTCTGGATTTATACTTCAGATTATATTTCAGATTACTTCAAGTTACTCCGGATTACTCCAGATTACTTCAGGTTATAGATGGTACTGAAATTAGATCAGAATTATAGTATTATGGTATTACAGCAGCCAAAAATATTTTCGGCATTACCTTTCAAAATCTAAAAATACTGAAAATAATTTTGGCTACCATTATTATTTTTGACTATCATTATTATTTTAGGTTATTGAAATTATTTAGGTTGTTGAAATTATTTGATTAATCAAAATTTGTGTCATGACCATTTTATTCCATAAATATCATACAATAAAAGTTTACCAAATAAACAAATAAATTTGTTTTAATATTATTTTTTATGTCTACATACTAATATCTATTTTTATTAAGTTTTGACATAAATAATAGTAGGTTTTTTCCTTTGATTTTAGTGATTATGGTTTCTTTTTTTTTGATTTTGATAATTACAAGTCTATTAAATTGACTATTTTTATTATAGATTGGTAGAATTAAAAATAAATTAAAATTATAAGATATTTCAAAGTTTGGGAAGGTTAGCAAGAGTATTGTGATGTTTATTTTATTGTTTCTTCGTGCATACAGGTACTAACTATTGTTTTTTTAATTATTTTTAGGTTAGTTTTTATAATTAAATTAGGTAGCGCAGTATCGTTTATAGATCTAAAGTCTAGATTTTAAATAAGAAAAAAAAGTAATTTCAAGGTTTAAAAGGGATTTATAGAACTAAAGGTAGTTATACTTTGTTTGTTTTATTATTTCTACTAGTTTTCAAGTAGTTGAATTAAGTTTTTATTATTTTCAGAGGACCTAGATTATTAAATTAATTGATAATTATGATTTTACAAATGATAATGAAAAGAATTTACAAGTTGAAGAAATATTAGATTTTACTAAATTTTTAGATAAAAATAATAATAATAATAATAATAATAATAATATGGTATATGTAGTAATTGAAGATAATGAAGATTATAATATTAATGAAATAATTAATACATCTGTAAATATTAATAATTAATAATTTTTAATATGATAATTTCTTTTTTATTTT